AGATTGGAGAGACCAAAGGAAAAGCAAGTAAAAATATTTCTAAATACAAGGGCATGGACTCTGTACTTAATGATACAGCATATATTTATAACTTTTGAATGATAAAATAATTCCCAATAATAATACTTATTTTGAAGAATGTGATTGTTTCCTCACTTATATTTTCTAATTCTGAGAACTAAGGAAAAGACAATGCCAGCTAACATTAAGAAATTCATTTTCATCAAAGTCCCATGTTAGTCCTTTAAAGTTACTGAAATGTCAAAAAGTCCTACATACCCATATTAGTTATAACAATAATAACAAAGGTATATATTAAAATAGCTTTTAAAATCAGCATTTAGTGAAAGAAGGTGAAACAAAAGCATTCTATTTATGGGATTATATTCCATCATTTCAATATGTTGATTTTTCAGATCTTTAAGAACATCATCTTGTTTAAATTCCATTGCAATAAATATTTGTTAAAATATATTGATGTTTTAACCTGTGCAACAGCCATGTTATCCTAAATGTAGTGTTGAAGAACTCTTAGTTTGATTAATAACTCACCCAGAAAGAGATGGATCCATGTTTATATTCTGTAATTTAAATAGTAACCCTCCTATAGAAATTAAAATAAATTTTTTCCACCATGAATAATCAAACTTGACATGCCCTCATATCACATGCCATCGGATAAATCTTGACAACTGATTTTCCCTGGTGGTATGAAGCCCATGCAACACTGATTGCTTATTACCACACTGGTTAATGGAAAATATTTTCCATTACATCATGCTATAAATAATAATTATTCTCTTCCAATGGACAGTTTGAAAGAATCAAAAGTCTATGGTTCACAAAGGATAACAAATCAGATCTTGGCAAATGTGAGAGGAACTAATACTTTCTGCCTCTCAAAGAAAAAAAAAAGTGTTCTATAACCTTTCGAAATATATTTTAGTTACCAATAAAATTTATGATAAACAATTGTAGCCTCAGAATAATGTACAATAAATGTGGTGAATAGCAGTTACCAGCAGAAAATGAAATTAGTGGGAGATAAGGACAGTTGCTCATCTTTATATATCTGTACAGTATTTAAAAGTTTTCTACAGTGAACGTGCATCACTTTGGTAATTTTATTTTAAACTTAAATCTGGAAACAGCTGCAGCCTCTGAGAAATTTAACACTCAAATAACAAAACTGCATCTTCTCTGACAGCATGCTATCATGAATTCACAAATACAACACAATATGTCAAACAGTTATAAAATGTAAATGTTGACTTCAATTGGAATAAATGAGTCACAGAGTCTATATTAAGCCTTGTACAAATTGGAAACAAACATCATGTGGCCTTCAGAAGACCTTCTAAAATTCAACAATATTATTTTTAAGTTTTGCATTAGCTGACTGTTTCTTAATCAGGACTACATACATCCACATAAGGTTTGAGATGCCCTCTGTACAGCTATGAGACATTTTGTTGAAAGTATATCACACAAAGCATGAACCAAACTGTAATATCACAACTTGACATGAGTAACCAGCAGGTGAACAATTCCACATAAGACATAATTAGATGTGTACCATTTTCCAGGTTTAAATATAAAAGGATGTGTCCTCATGAATTGCATCGTTGTGTAAATTAGGGAGGGGAATTACATACACCAATTACATCAATGAGTTAAGCACTAGTGAGGTGTGACATTCCAGCTGTGTAATCACAGCTTTATCTAATGTGAAATATTCTTGATGCATGGCAATGATATGAAAGATGTCAGGCTTTCTTTGATCTGTTATTGAATAGCTCAGTGGTTACACTTTAGTCCCACATTAACACTCTAGACTATGTAGTTAGAACTTGCTAGTTTTATCTGCAATGTGAAGGAAATAAAAATCAAATGATAACTCTGTTCATTATGGGCTCTCCTATATGATGAGAGTTAACATTTAACTATAATGTACCCTATTCAAATTAGTATTTTCAAAATCCAAACTCAAACCATCCCAGCTACAAAACAATGTCAAAAACCAGTATGACTTAAGTCATAGCTGGGTATGCCCATGGCTTACTTAGAGCTATAAGAATCTCAGCAGAACACTAAGGATATTTGAGTTACAAGACAAGGAAAAAACAATGAAGCTGACAAGAGGGAAGAAACAGGTAACATTCAAAGGAAAACCAATCAGACTGACATCAGACTTCTCCAAAGAAACACTACGGGCAAGGAGAGAGTGGAGGGACATAGTCAACAGACTCCAAGAAAACAGATGCCAACCAAGAATACTCTATCCCGCAAAGCTCTCCTTCCTCTATGAAGAAAGAATAAGGACCTTCCCAGACAAACAGAAACTCTGGAATTTCATTATGACTAAACCCCCACTCCAAAAAATACTACAAGGAGTCCTAAAGCCAGAACCTCAGAGGAACGAATAACAACGAAAGAAGGCCAAAAAAAAAAGTTATTAAAAGAATAAATAAATAAAATCAAAGGAAAGACAAACACAATGGCAAATACAGATGCTAACATATCAATATTAACTCTAAATGTAAATGAACTAAACTCTTCAATAAAAAGACACAGAGTCGCAGGCTGGATTAAGAAACAAAACTCAACCTGTTGCTGTCTCTAGGAAACATATTTAGCCACAAAAGATAAAAATAGACTCAAAGTTAAAGGATGGAAAACAATCCTACAAGCAAATGGACCAAAAAGGAAGGCAGGAACAGCTATACTTATATCAGATAAAACAGATTTCAAACTTAAAAAGATAAAAAGAGACCCCAACGGTCACTACATTATGATCAAGGGGACAATACTTCAAGAAGAAATAACACTCATTAACATATATTCACCAAACGAAGGCACACCAAAATATATCTGACAACTATTGTCATCTCTGAAAACAGACATCAGAGAAAACACATACGTAGTAGGAGACTTCAACACACCACTATCAACAATGGATAGATCAACGAGACAAAAAATAAGTAAAGACACTAAAGCTCTAAATAAGGATCTAGAGAGCTTGGGCTTAACAGACATCTATAGAACACTAAATCCAAAAAAATCTGAGTACACATTTTACTCAAGCACACATGGATCATTCTCCAGGATGATCACATACTGGGACACAAGACAAACATCAACAGATACACCAAGATTGAAATCATACCAACCATCTTTTCTGACCATGAAGGCATCAAACTAGAAATAAACCATAAAAAGAAGGCAAGGTACTTTCCTACCTCATGGAGATTGAAACCAACACTACTGGAAGACCACTGGACTAATGAGGAGATCAAAGAAGAAATTAAAAAATTCTTTGAATTGAATGACAAGGAGGACACCAATTTCCTAAATGTATGGGATGCAGCAAAAGCAGTAATAAGAGGAAAATATATAGCAATAGAAGCTCACATCAAGAAACAAGAAAGAACTCAAAGAAACAACCTAATCTTGCAGCTCAAAGATCTAGAAAAAGAACAACAAAAAAAACCCAAAACCAGTAGAAGAAAAGAAATAATAAAAACCAAAGCAGAAATAAATGAAATCGAAACTAAAAAAAACAATCCAAAAGATCAATGAAACCAAGAGCTGGTTCTTTGAAAAAATAAATAAAATAGACAAACCCCTAACCAGGCTCACAAAGGAAAAAAGGGAGAAAGCACAAATAAACAGGATCATCAATGAAAGAGGAGAAATCACAACGGACACAGCAGAAATCAAAAGAATAATCAGTAACTGCTATGAACAGTTATATGGAAACAAGTTCAACAATCTAGAGGAGATAGACAAATTCCTACAACTCTACAATCACCTAAAGCCAGATAAAGAAGAAATAGAACACCTAAACAGACCAATCACAAGCAGCGAAATTGAAATGGTAATCAAAAACCTCCCCAAAAACATGGAAGAGATACAAAAACATGTATCTATGGAAGAACTATAAACACAATGGAGGAAAATCTATCTTTACTAAGAAACTTTCAATTTGAATAAAACATGTTAAGGGTAAAAATTGTGCTACCATTCCTTATCATGAAAAAACAAAAGGTATTGTGGAAAATAAATAAATACATATTGTTCCTGAAGCTAATAAATTTGCAACTAATAGTGACAATTTCTTTTTTTTAAAGATTTATTTTTATTTATTTATACAAGCACTGGGTACAGTCAGAAGCGTGGGAGGGTGAGAGAGTTCACCGGAGCCAGAGCGGGGAGCAGAACAGGCAGACTGACAAAATACTCTGCTGAGGGGAGCAGCCGGCACAGCAGGAGAGGTCCACACCCCATGTGGGATCCATGTGGGCGGCTGGGGTCCAACCAGCGCTGCAGAGTCTGCAGGCAGCTTCGCAACCCAGCACTCAACCGCTGCACCACCAGGGGAAGCCTATTAGTGACAATTTGTGTTGATTTTTTTTCTTCAAAAAAATTTGATGATTCAAAGAAATGGACATCACACATACAGGTTACCTTAAGTCCACAAGGATAGTAATTTGATAAAAAGAAATCACTGAATACTGATTGTCAATACTCTGAGTTTGAGATAATAAGGCTCAAGAATTAGGAGTATTTTAATAAACACCATGACAATCAAAAAAGATACCAGACAAGTCTTTGTAGCAATAGTGGTGACACACTTGTAAGATGATCTAAAAATATTTAATGGGGAGCATGCCTCAGTAACACTAGCAAAATTTGGATATTTCAAATATCATTTAACATATATAACATAAATAAAATAAAAACCATAAGAACAGTAAGATTTAAAATCTTTCCATATTCAAAATAAAAACTAATTCTCTATTACCACTATGAATATTTCAAGTTTAAATACAAAAATTCATGAACATTGTATAAGAGGTGTGAGAACACATTTTTATACAAAGTGCCATGCACCAGACAAAAAGTTAACATCTCTTTGAATTAATAAAAAGTTAATTTCACTGTCATGACCACCCCTCTATCATCTGTATATGAAATAAAACTTTTTGCAGCATTCTTACCCCTTCTTGCTTTTGGGCTTCACTAAGTTTTTCAGTCAAGTCCTCCAAAGCTTTTTTTGTTTCAGCATCCGATCTAAACAAACAAAGAAAAATATTTTAGGTTGGATATTTGAGAAAACATATACAGTTAGCATTACAACATTATTACAAAATACTCTCTGTGGTTCTCAAACATTAGCAAACACATGTAACATCTAGAAGACTTGTTGAAAAACAGACTGTTGGACCCTGTCCCCCACCAAATTTCTGAATCAGTAGATCTGGTATGAGGCACAAGAATGTGCACTTCTACAAATTCTTAGATGATACCCATACTGCAGGTTTGGGATCCTACTTTGAGAACTGCTGCTATACTGGAACATCACCTTCATAAACAAATAGGCTGCAACATCTCTCATTTTTAATTAAGAAAAAGTGGGGGAACAAAACTCTTGATCACATCCTCTCAAGCAATTCAGCTTTGTTCAAACTCTGTTCTTGCTAAAACTGTCCTCTCCTATTGCCTGTCTTCCCTGCTAAATTAGTAACATCCTGGATAAATAGTCAAATAGTACAGAAAGACATATAAAGAAAAACAAAGATCTTTCTCTCATTTCCTTACCTCTGGTTCTACTCCCACTGGCTACCATGACCAAATATTTCCATTCTTTCTTAAATCTTTTGCTGGTTACCACCATCATTCTCAACTCTAGACATTTTTTGATTAGCTCCTGTTTTGAAATACTCTGTTTACACTCCACTCCAATTTCAGATAAATTTCTATCTTTAGTTCTTCTACTGGTTTCCTGCATAACATCTATTTATACCTTTCAGGAATTATTATAGAGAATTGGAGATTTTTGTTTATATTCCATCTTGCTCACTAATTTTAGTCAACTTCAGATTTGGATCATTAACTTTCTGTTGCTTTTGTTTATGCCAGAAATTTTCATCTTTTGACCTTCTGTGGGTCTTATTTAGCACATTATTTTTTTCTCCCACTTCTTCCTGAACCATCTATTAAGAATCTACCCTACTCTTGTTAGCCACATTCTTCTCACAGGACACTTATCTCCTATTCTAATTTGAGTGAATACTTCATGTGCCTACTATATTAATTTCACTGAAATTCTGGCTTAGTTTTCACTATTTCTTATAACCTATATCTCACTCTTTCTTACCATTTTTTTTTTTAACTTTATAGGCCCATAGGTAATTTCCCCAGGAAGAAGTTACTGAAAAAGGCCAATTTTCTAAGTTTTTAAATGGGCCTCCCCATTGGCGCGGCAGGTTGAGCGCAGCGCTGTGAAGTTGTCCAGAGCCTCTGCAAAGCGGCCAGGGAGATTCTAGCCTGCTGCTCCCCTCGGCAGTATATTTCAGTCTGTCTGCCTGTTCTGCTCCCTGCTCTGTCTCTGGTCAATCCTCCCACCCTCCCATGCCTCTGGCCTGTACCCCAGTTCTTGTATAAAAATAAATAAATCTTTAGAAAAAAACCTAAATGTTACTTTTCCTTGGTTTTTGAGTTTCCATGTGCTCCTGTATTTCCCACATCTCTAGCTGTTCCTTCACAGGCCAACTCCTCTTTACATAAAGACTTCTAAATAATGGCACTCTCTGGCACTCAGCCCTGTCCTTGATGCTCTCCAAACAGTTTGCCAAGAGGTATCATACATTTTGATGGTTCCAAATATCATTTCTACATGCTGACCCCTCTTAAGTCCACATCTCTAACAGAGACTTTTTCTTTGAGCTCCAGAATAAATATCTAGTTGTAAATTCTACATTACCACTTGGATGTCTCATGGGTATCTCAAACCTAACATATTCCAGCCAAACTCTTTATTTATAGATCTCACCAACCCCAACCCCAACAGGCTTCCACATTTCAGGAAATGAAATCACCATCTAGCAAGTTTTTCAGTTCAGAAATCTGGAAGCCATTCTTGATTTTTCCCCTTTATCTAATCCAGAGAGATATCTACATTGCCAATGCTGTCTCTTCAGGCTCCATTTTTTTTTTTTTAAATAGTTTCCTACCCATCTCTCCACTGCCACAACCCTAGTCAAGGCATCATCTTTCACATACTAACGTAATTAAAAATTCACAATTAAGGGTCTCCCTGGTAGCCTAGGGTTTAAATTTCAGCACTATCACTCCTATGGCCTGAGTTCGAGTTTGATCCCAGCCAGGGAGCTAATCCATATGGTGCAGCAGACCTCTCCTGTCTCGCCCACTGCTCCCCTTAGCAGTATTTCAGTAGATCTGCCTCTTCTGCTCCCCAGTCTGTCTCTGATGACTCCTCTCACCCCACCCCATCCCACCTCCTGGACATCTGGCCTACATCCCAGTTCTAAGCAAAAAAAATAAAATTAAATTTTTTAAGTAAAAAATAAAAACAATTCACAGAGTTAAGTGTTTTCATACACATAAATTAATAATTTGTGGTACAGGGTCAAACAGAATTGTATCTTAAAATCTTCTTATCCAACAGTGATGCCACTAGGTTTCATAAGAAATTTGACTCATTAAATTAAATGAGTCAATTAAATGAAGCTTGAATTAAATCAAGCTTCACTGCCTCACATATCCCTTGAGGTGACACAAACTATGCCAGATGGTATCGGCCCATGGATCAGATTTCAGCTGACCACCGGACAGCCAAGTGACCATGTAAACTTATCAACAAAATCATTCTTGCAATATATCCTGTCTCTTCTTATAGAACATGTATTTCCTGAAAAGCCTAGTTCCTAGTTCTTAATACATACCCTTTCATCACGTGTAGAACTTACAAAATAAAATCACACCAAGAACAGTTATTCCATTATGCTGATTTATCAACTTGTTAAAAATAAATACCTAGGTTTTAAATTAACTAACCCATATCACCTTCAAAAAATTAACAGAGTTCAACAACATAACTCAAAATTCAAGAAATTGAATGCTTTAGTCACATCAACTACATGAAAGTGACCTTGAAATGCTGAGTCAATAAGTGGGAAGGACCACTCTGGGGTCTTACTGCCCAGATTTGAATCTGATTCCACACATTCCCCACTTTCACATCCAAAAAATAGGAAAATAACTACTTCATCACAGTTGTTTCCAGTGTTAAATCTAAATCTACCGAGCAAGAAATACATGTTCAATAATACTCATTGTTGTAGAAATAATAGTATGGTCTTTTGGTTCTTATTGCTGAATTTCCTGCATTCATTATATGAAAGCAAACAAATAATGCAAATTATACCTGATATTCATAGGTTTAACATTGTTGGTTTTGACTCATTTTTCTGTAGCAATACAAAAACTGTGTTGGAATATTTTAGTTCGCTAGAACTGGTACTAGCAAGTTAACTTGGTAAAGGAATTTCAATTCAGTTTCATTGTTCCCTAATATAACTGTACATATTGATAGATTGTGAATCTTGATAAGGAATAAAAAGTTTTTGTTGAAAAAACATGACCTCTAAATTAAAGCCAAAATGCCATCACTTACAATGAAAATGAAAAGACACTGAAGAAATTTTAAATCAAGTGATACTTCTTGGGGAACCACTCAGATCTGACAAAATTGCTAAGACTTAGCAAATATATATTGCTGGCTTTCAAGTGAACCCTAAAATATCAGATTATACAATGACCCATCCATTGACAAATTCTACATTATGCTTTTTTTTAAATTCTTCAAGTCCAAGGTCAATTTCTTTTTCTAGCTCCATCCCCCCACTCAAATGTATTTGCAAATCCACCTCTTTACTACGGTTTCACAATGTATCTTCCACAAAGTCAGCATTCTATAGTAAGAGTTTTTAAGAAATACAAAATTAATTTGTTTAACATTTAATCATGATATATATTCTAAATTCAGAGTTTTGAACTATTCCATTACTAAATTTTAAAATACTGGTAAAAAAGTACAACACTGTTTTTAAATTTCACGTAAACATGTCAAGTACAGAACCTATTTTATCTTCTAACAATTCATGTTTCCAGTAAAAATCATATTCTGCTTTTACCGGCTTCTTCTGGCAAGTTCCCGGTTGAAATCATCTCCTAGGCGAACTTGTTCACTGCTGAGGTCTCGGAGGGACTGATGAAAAGCATGAAGCTAGCAAAGACAAAACAGTTATCCATTTAGGGTTCTATTGAATTCTTCCATCAACATTCACTAAGGGTAAGAATAAGAACTTACTCTTTGCAATAATGTCCAAGTTTAACAATGTTATTAAGACAGAGTGTCTATTCTAAAAGAAAATATTTTTTCAAAGAAAAGCAATTTTTAATCATATTCTCTACAGTACAGTAATTCCAAACCTTAGAGATACCCTCGAAAAAGGTTAGCAAACTTTCCTCTGTAAAGGGACCAAGAGCAAGTATTTCAACCTTGCAGGCTACACAGACTCTGTTGAAATTACTCAGTGCATTACAGCACAAAAGCAGCCATAAACAAATGAGCATGGCTGTATTACAATAGAGCTGTATTCAAATAGACCACACACCAGGTTTGCCTACCCAGAAAAACTCTTGCCCACATACACCAGGAACCACATTTGGAGCAGCATAATGAAAACAGAATACATAACAATTCATAATGAGAACAAAAAAAACAAACCAAATATCTATCAAGAATAGAATGGAGATAAACTACAGCACATTCCTCCATTGGAGTATCACACAGGATTGACAATGAAACAATTAAAGCTACTTACATATTACTAAGGCTAAATATCAAAAATATAACATCAAATGAAAAGTGCATGTCATAAGACATGCAATATTATTCTATTGCTATAAAGCCTTGAAGTCGGTAGTATTAAACAAGAAGTATTAAAAATGGATTTTTTTTAAAGAGCAAGAAAATGAATAATACAAAAGTCAGGATAGTGAACAATCAAGTTTCATGAATAACTAAATCAGTACCAGCCACTAGGCTGGGAAATAAGTGGCTCACAATTTAACACAAGAAATAGATAAGTAAACAAAACCACAAATACTGCACAAGGGCATTAAGAAAGTACACATTCATGTGAAGCTTCACATTCATGTGAAGCTAAAGAACATCCTAAGAGAATGGACTCAAAATAAGGAAGAACAATTAAAAAGAAAGGAGTGGAGGAAGTGCAGGTGATGAACAACACATCATTCACTTAGGTTTTTGTCATTATGCTTTGCCAGTTTTGGCAATCAGAATTTTAGGATTCATTCGTGACATCTGTTTACATATTCCTACCCTCCCCAAATCGTCATCTGATCTCCAAGACTTTATTTTCATTTTATCTACCAAATCATTTTGAAATCTATGCCCTTTCTCTCCAACTCCATTTATCCTAATCCAAGTGACTATCATCTCATGCCCTGAACACAGCACTATACTCCCAACTGGTTTTCCAATACTGACTACATTTTCTACATGTAACTATCTTTCCAAAGTAACTATCATTCCCACACAAGACTACATGGTCTCAGCCCTTTATATTTTTGTAGCTATATGCCCTTTTTCAAATTGCTCACAGGTGCTATCTCCCTTCCTGCAAAGGGATTTGTTTTACCTCGAACGATTGTCGCTCAACTTTTTGGACCTCAGTTCAATTAGTCTTTCTGTGAGAAGCCTTTCCAGACTGTGACATACTCCCATAGTCCTATGCTTCTTTCTATTACAGCATGCATCTCAGTTCATAATTATGAGTATATTAATGTACTTATCTGATTCATTTCTAGCTTCCCACCCAGATTACAGGTTCCATGAAAAGCCAGTTTTTTCTTATCACTGTTACTAAGCACAAGCACTATCCCCAGGGCAGAGGACTAAAAATTAGGATAATGTTCTCTGTTCTAAGTTTAATTATATAACCCATGCTAGCAAGTTTCACTTACCAAAAAAATAACACAATCAAGGAAAAAACTCTACAAAATGGTTTCTAATGCACTTAGTTCTATTATCTCTTTATCTTACATTGTTTAAAAAAGAAAGTTACAGATGGGCATCCTAACAAACTTTGAACCCTCAATATTAAAATTACCAAAATAAAGATGTCAAAGTCAGCAACATCCTTTAGTTCTTTTCCAAGGCAACAACAACAAAATTATCTTCAGCTCTTGGGAGAAATTTACAGAAGCATGAAAAGAAATATGTCCATAAATTAATACTTCAAAAATCTTTAATGAAAAGTAAAGTATATGAGATTTCTTTCTTAACAGGAAGTAGCTCCATCAATGATTCAACGATCAGAAAAACACTGATGGAAAACCAGTTATCCATGTGGGACTCACTTGTTTATATAAAACAGAAATTAGCAAAATGGAAAGTGGCTGAGTTAGCAGAGTTTACAGAAGACTGAGCCACCAAAATCAGAAAGTTAGATATGCCCACTAAAATCTCTTTTAAATATTCTAAAGATATAATCTCCCAACACAAAATTCAAAAGAAATATATGATAATGATTAGCACATTGAAAAAAAGTTTATTTGGTTTAAAACAAAAAAAGATCAGTATAAAGTCACTGATGATCAAATTCTCAGTTAACATTTAGCCAGAAAGTCAAGTGCTGGCCATTTATATAGCAATTAAGGAATACCAGATACAGAAAGGCACAAAGTACCTGGACAGCGTCATCAGTCTCCCGAACAAATCGGACACCACTTCTGGACCTAATTCGTTTAAAACCCTGTTGATCCCCATAGTCCTTGAGAGGTGAGGTAGGTGGAAAACGGTGGCTTTCTTTGTAATTGAAAGAAAAGGGAGAGGATGAAAACACTGCATGAGAAGAGGCACTCTAAAACTTTACTCAGTACATATGAAGAAGACAAGAATATACAAATACACCCTTAACCCAGGCTACTTCCCAATATCTTCTTTCACCATAAAATTCCAAAGAATTGGCTTTTAATGCAGCTAAAAGGAAAACAGAAACAACCTGGAAATAAACTACATCAAAAATTCTAATTTGCTATACTTTTCATAAAAGGAATATGTTCTCATAAAAAAAATAAGTTATGATTAAAAATATAATTTAATACTAACAAAACAGAACTTTTTGTTTTGACTACAGAAAGGAGAATACCTGATTATGTCCAATTTTTAACCACTGTTAAGATCAAAGACAACAGTAACAATGGGTGCCACTAATGTTCACTCCATCTAAATCACCTCTCTTCACTGCAGACTCCTTTCTTTACTATTCTGTCTTTTCTGTTCAAACATGAACATGAATGGTGTAAGAAAGTATAAGTAAGATTAATTCCAGGCAAACTAAGTGGCTTCACTTTTAATCTAGCCATGAACATTGAGCTGCACATCAAGATACACCTGTTCTTAACAAATATCACAGGATATGGGCAATCAGACTTATGAAAAGCGGTGATGCTAGAACAAGACTCTGAATACAAAAAGTACATCATATAGTAAGTCCTTTTTTTGTGTTTGTTTTGATTGGTGGCAAAATAATTAAATCCAGGTTCTTTCAGGTCAACCTACGTAGGGTTGATAGAGTCTCGAGAAAAACAAAAGCAACAGAAAGAGTAACAAAGTCTCATTGAACGTATTTCAAAATATTCACTATAAAGTCCTTGACAACTGCATCTTCCAAGACCTTATTTAAAGATTTTTATACAAGGGCTGTATTTCTCCAAAAATTAAATGTACTCAATATATACTTAAAGAGTATTTTACCTATCAGGAATCTTTTACCTTAAGGAGGAGTTTACCTGTCACAGTGCCACCATCGAGGTCACTTGTACTCAGACTTGTAACAGAAATACTTCTCCCTCCTGAGTTTCTCAATAAACGTTGACTCCGCAGTTGGCCTATTGATTGTTCCAAGTTTTCCTTTAACTAAATTAAAGAATATAACGAAGGGAAATTTACTCTCATTTACAACTTCCAAATGCAAATAGACTTAGTGATGCTTAAAGCTATTTCTAAAATATCTGGGTTCCCAAAGAGAATTTACATCAGAGAAAATTTTGAACTAAGTTATATTAGGATATATAAAAATAGTGAGCATAAATATTTTAAGAACATCTGGTTTTAAATAGCATCTGTCACTACCTATTCCATCTTTCTATTACCAAAATGTGGACAAAATGTGTACTAAGGGCTTACCGAACAAGACTGAAATGTCTAATTGACATGCTATCCATGCTTAGAAACACAAGAAGACAAGTACACATGAAAGAAGAAAGCTTCCCACTTTCTATGCATTCCTTCAGAAACACAGGACACTGAACTGTTATAGTGACTGCTGTTACTGAAACAATGGGCTCTACCCAGAACAGAACTTCTCTTTCATTCATTCAAAGACATCAAATCCCAGAAAATCACTGAGCCCAGATATTAGATTCTTAGTATGAGGGATTACAGTTGTCCAGCTGTTTCCTTCAGATTTTTAGGGAGTGAGATAGCAGGAGATGTAAGAAGACATATTTTTAGATCTAAAGAGTTATATATAAAAACATGCTAAATACTGAAAATGAAGTCCAGCATTGTACACACTCCTAAAAAAGGGATTCAATTAAAACCTAAGGAAACAAAAAGTAAAGTTGAATGAAATCTATACAATCCGAATAGCTGAAAAACTTCAGGCCTTGATATCTTATCCAAGGATAAATAAAAATAAAATTAATAAAAATCACTCATGGATCCATAGAACAAATGATCAATAAGCCCTTTAAAGAGACTATCAAAACAGAATAACTGATCAAGACAGGATTTCCTAAATTCAGTTTGAATTTAAAGGCAAAATATCTCTTATGCAGAGACCAAGCTGGTTTCCTTGGGATTAGTGGAGAAAGAAGGTAGCCTAGGCTGAAGGGAAAGCAAGAGATAAGCCACAAATGATCAAATAAATCCTTTTTCATTCTCACTGCTTGAATTTAGTTCTTCTGAAGAACCAAGGTTAACATTCTAACTTAAAAGAAGTAGAGTTAGAATTTCAGCCGTCTACCTCCACTGTTGATACCATTTTTGAAATAAAGGCTAACATTTCCATATCCTCTGTCCCCATCTCCCCTACAATGTTCTATGTATTCTATGTAAATGCTGCCTGGCTATCTGCCAACAGGGAAAGCAACATATCAAGGAAACATAGATGAGGCCCAGGAGAACCAAGGTCTACCTCGAGAGTAATTTATATATAAATAAGACTATATATAATATGAGTAAACCAGAGATCTTACATAATGAACATGAGCTGGTATATCAGTAATCTATGAAAAAAACTCAGAATAAAATTAAACAACGTTAAGATTAATAAATTCAAATCCCAACTAATATGAGAAAAGTGCTAGAAAAGCAAAATGACTTTAAGAACACACAAAGTTAGTGACAGAACCAACTCTATTACTTTTCCTGTGTTTATTATTCACATCTTTTAAACTGAATCTGAGGCCATGACCCTTTTGGATGCAAAGTTAGCTGTTATTTATTACTGCTTCTTTTTGGAAGGTAATCTGCTTTTACTAACTGGCTATTTTTAAGATTCTCTCTTCAACACTGATTATCAATGATTTTACTATGATGTAACTATGAGTTTATTTGTAGTGAACTAAGTTTGACCCATAGAAATCATGGAATCTGTAGTTTAACCATTTCATGTATCGTGAATGCTTAGCCACCAATGTTTGAATACTGTTTCTACTCCATTCTTTTCCCCCTCTCCTTCTAGAAACCCAGTTGCATTTAAGTTAAATCTTTTTACCAAATCCCTTATGCTGTCTCTGTTCTTTTCTCTACCATTCATCCTTTCACTCCTCCATTCTATCTGGATATCTATTGCTGATCTATCAATTCATTAATTCTCTCTTAACTACATGTAAGTTTCTGTTTAATCCATGGAGATTTTTTCCAAATTTTTAAGTTATATTTTTCAGTTTCTGTTATTTTCATTTAGTTAATTTTTATAACTTTCAATTCTTTATCAAAATTTTCAATCTCTCACATTTTTGAACAAGTGAAGCATACGTATTTTGTAATCCCATGTACAGATCTACTGTCTGTTTTTCCCTTGGTTCCAGTCACCTCTGAGTATTTTTTTATCATGTAAAACAAGGTATTATATATGAAAAGTTATAGAAATCATTTAAAGTTCTTCCTTCAGGAGGGATCTGGCTTTGCTTCCAGCAGAAAGAGCTGCTAAGGTCACTAGAAATCCCAAATCACCTCAACCCAATTAGTGAAATGAGAAGATTCAAAATCTGGGCTTCTGTCCCCATGAGGGCTGGTCTATTTTCAGTTTATCAATTCTCTTATTTTCAATTCACCATTTCTCTAGGCTGTAACCCTGTGGGTCTCAACTGAAAGCTGAACTCAATTGGAAGCGTTCCTGAACTCTTGTTTTGGTCCCCTAGCCCCATGAGTCTGAGTCTCTACTGATGGAAAAAGGCCCAAATGCAGGACCCATCCTTCTGGACTTTCAATTTTGCCAGATTTTGAATATAAAATCTCTTACTGTCTTCATAGTTCTGTCATAGATTAATATGATTTTATTTTTTTCACTGCCTTTCTTCTTTTCTGAGTAGGAGAGTAAATAATCTTTCCTACCAATGACAGAAGCAGAATATGCCAGCCTTCTCTTTACATGTGTAACTAAAAACTGATGAACAAAATGAATTTTTGTTCATCTCTCTCTCTCTCTCTCTCTCTCTCTCTCTCTCTCTCTCTCACACACACACACACACACACACACACACACACACACACAATTCCTGCTTAGAGAAACAAAAAAAAAGTCACTATGGAACATACAAAAAATTTGCAGAGCAAGAGAAATGACACGTTACCCCCAAAATCTAGAAGGAATAACAGATGTTGGGAAATTAATCATTTCAGAAGTAATATAAAAACTGAGACAAATATTTGACAACCTCTCTGTAAAATTCTAAAAAGAGCTATCATAAGTCATTTGAACACATGAACAACATGATCTATAAAGACCAAAAAATGACTTATCAATGAGTGAAATAGACTTCTAATTAAGATACAAAGCTAAAAATGTAACAGATTTACAATCTACACTGAAAGGAGAAATAACACAACTACCACCACACAAAATGTAATCATGATATATGAAATCAAGTTGCTAATTCCTAAAACACAAAGAGATAAAATATAAAATTATAAAAATTGTTTCTAAATTCTTTAGGGCTAGAACACTGAAATAGGTACAGAAGCAAACGAAATTTGAATATTTTTAAAAAAAAACAACACTAATAAAGCTCAAACTAACATAGATACTAGATAGATAAAATAGATGCGATTTTATAAAAGCTCAATGAATGCCCCACACAAGAGTCCAACAATACATCCTCTCAGTGTAACAGCTGTTGAGTCCATTTCCTTCATTTATTTCCCCTTCTTTGAAATACTATAAAACCAGTATCACAGAACAAGCTGAAAGGCAGCAGTGTCAATATTCCCATTATGAGCTGTTTCTTCTATAATTCCCTGTATACTCATCTATATCTCCATAAAATGATTCAAATTTCACTTTCAGTGTGATCACTTTTCATTTCATTGTTGCAACTGGCATCTTCACTGAACAGTTCCTTTTTAAAATTGTTAATTTTTATAAGTTAGCACACAAGTTTATCATTGGAAAGGAGAGGGAACACAACTATGCACGTTTTCATTGTCTGTGAAATGAAATTCAGTTGTCAACAGAATTCAAAAACAGATTTGTCGGCCAACAGGCACATGAAAAAATGTTCAACATCACTTGTAATCAGGGAAATGCAAATCAAAACTACCATGAGATACCATCTCACACCAGTGAGAATGGCACATATTAAAAAAACTAGCAACAACAAATGTTGGCGAGGATGTGGGAAAAAAGGAACTCTCCTGCACTGTTGGTGGGAGTGCAAACTGGTCCAACCACTATGGAGAGCTGTGTGGAGATTTCTGGACCTACTAAACATAGAGCTTCCATATGAGCCAGCAATTCCACTCCTAGGTATTTACCCAAAGGACACAGAAACATCAATTCCAAAGAGCACCTGCACCCCTATGTTTATAGCAGCACTGTTTACAATAGCTAAGCTTTGGAAACAACCCAAATGCCCAAAAATAGATGACTGGATCAAGAAGATGTGGTACATATACACCATGGAATATTACTCAGCATTCAAAAAGATAAACACATGCAATTTGCAGCAACATGGATGGCACTGGAAGGGATCATGCTTAGCAAAATAAGCCAGAAAGAAAAAGAAAAATACCAGATGGTCTCACTTATAGCAGGAATCTAGAAAACTTAAATAAGGGACCAGGAAAAAGAATAACTATAAGAAAGAAAATATCAAAATCAACACCTAACTATGAACAAGAGACACTCTATGGGGGGTGGGGGGCGGGGAAAGGAGGGCTTGGGGTAAAAATAAGGGGGTTGCAATTGTATCGGGAATATAAAAATAAAATTTAAATAAAAAAAACAGATTTGTAATTTACATAGCAATGTGTGAACTGAAAAGCAAGCAGTAAAACATGTACTTTACACAATCACTCATAGCTAAGATACTGTGTTTACTGAAATTTGAATTATATTGAGAACTGGTTTTTTGTTTCTTTTTTTTTACCAAACAAGCATAATAAAAATTCACACACCTCGAAACTCCACAAGGACAGGTGCATTTACTTTCCTGAGTCCTCAATCCCTGCCCCAAGCATTCAATAGAGGTTTCATAGCCATTCTCAGTGGGAGACTATGCTAACTAGCTCACCTGAAACTCAGGTTTTGCTTTTTCTTAAGTAGAAAATATTGACTTTCCAAAATTCAGAATAGTAAGCTTCTTGACCTAGAAGGTGTAAGCAGCTAGAAAACTAGGTAGTAACTCCAT